GGGCAATTTTAACATGAGAAATGCAGCAGGGAACTATATTCAATATCTTATAATAACCTTTAATGAAAAAGAATATGAAAATGAATATATGTATGTATACGCATGACTGGGACATTGTGCTGTACACCAGGAACTGACACATTGTAACTGACTGTACTTCAATAAAAAAAAGAAATGCAGGTGTGATTATCTCTGTTGGGGTGAGAAAGTAAGCCTTGGAAGAATTGAAAACAATTAGTTTGCACTTCCAACTTAATGGGGCAAAATGCAATGAGGAGAGAACTGACCAAATCAGAAAAGTAAGAACAGGGACTTCTGGTTTCCAGGCCATCATGCAAGGAGCTTGGCAGTCACCACTTAATCCTAATTATAAGTAAAAGTTGAACTAAAAAAAATCAATAACTTTCTTGGGAAAGTGAGGTCACAGGGCAAAAAACCACTGCCCTCACATTTGGAGAGACAGACAGGTGGATACAGAGATTCAGAATTTATTAAGAGCAGAAACCTCGGCCTCGGAAACCAGTGCTGGGATAGGAAAATCTGAGTGGTAATTGACAAATTGCTAGGGGCTCAGTGTGGACAAGTCTGAAAGTTTAAAACTCGAGGGACCCAGCCATAAGGTGGCCTCCACACTTTGGTCAGTTTTACCTCCTGGAGCCCCACAGTAAAGACTGGAGAAAGATCTCATGCTTCTGGCAGAAAGAGTGGTAAGGGAACTATTTTGAAATATCAGAGTGTCTGTTCATTCTCACGTGGTCTCCCCTCAAGGGAAACTATTCTACCATAGTCTAATCTAATGGGATTTTATTAGAGCTTAATCAACCTGGGGTAAGGGAGGAAACGCCCAGCTCCAGCCCCCTCTAGCCATCCTGCCCCATGTAAGGGGCTGGGGAAAAACCGAAAAGCACTTGTGAAGAAAAGTAAGTAGAGGGAAAAAGAAAAAAAAAATGAAGTAGGTTCAATATTAAACCTAAAGTAAATGGAAGAAACAACACAAAGAATATCAGTTACGCAACAAATGTGAGAAGTCTGAATTTCCCTATCAAAATACATTATCATACTCGGTGAGACAAAATCCAGTTATACATTAACAAGAATCACAATTAAAATAAAGTGACAAAGATATGTCACACATATGGTTGGATATGTCTCCTGAGCCAGGGGAAATGGCAATACATAAATGGGACTACATCAGACTAAAAAGCTTTTGCACAGCAAAGAAAACTATCAACAAAAAGAAAAGATCACCTACTGAATGGGAGAAGATATTTTCAAGCAATATATCTGATAAGGGCTTAATATCCCAAATATACAAAAACTCATACAACTCAACATTAAAAAAAAGGCCCAATTAACAAATGGCCAGAGGGTCTGAATAGACATTTTTCTAAAGAAGACATAGAGATGGCCAACAGGCACATGAAAAGATGCTCAATTATCAGAGAAATGCAAATCAAAACCACAATGAGGTATCATCTCACATCTGTCAGAATGACTATTATCAAAAGGACAATAGATAACAAGGGTTGGTGAGAAGGTGGAGAAAAGGGAACCCTTGTGCAGTGCTGGTGGAAATGCAAATTGGTGCAGCCACTATGGAAAACAGTAAGGAGATCCTACAGAAAATTAAACACAGAACTACTACATAATCCAGCAATTCTACTGCTGTGGATTTTTCTGAAGAAGATGAAAATATTAATTAGAAAAGATACATGCACTCCTATAACATTGCAGCATTATTTACAATACCTAAGATACGGAAGGAACCCAAGAATGCATCAATAGATAAATGGATAAAGAAAATGTGTTATATATACAATGGAGTATTAGTCATCTATAAAAGAAGAATGAAATCTTGCCATTTGCAACAACATAGATGGACCTAGAGGGTATTATGCTAAGTGAAAGAAGTCCAACAGAGAAAGACTAATACTATATGATTTCACTTATATGTGGAATTTAAAAAACAAAACAAATGAACAAACATAACAAGACAGAAACAGAGTTATAGATGCAGAGAACATAGAAAACATAGATGTATGAAAAAAAAGGTAACAAAGAAAGATTGAAAACAAGGGTATGGACAAAGAGAAATCTAACTAATGCAAACAAGGGAAGCAGGAGTAGCAGAATTCAAAGTCAAAAGCATTTAACGGGACAAAGAAGTTTATGTACTGACACAAGGTGACATCTATGAGAAAAATAAGCCATAAATCTTTATGTACCAGGTTATGTACAAGCATAGTACACCAAAACATTAGGGAGAATTTGCTAAAATTTGGAGGAGAAAATGATAAAATCACAGTGGGAGATTTTAATAAACTTCTTTTAGAATTTGACAGTCTAAAAATAAACTAAAGAATTTGAATAACATGATCAACAAGGTCAAGTTAGTTGACTTTTACAGAATTTTTACTCTACAAACACAATAGATCTGAGCCCATAGTACACTTACAGACATCAATTTGGTGATAAAGAATGTAAATAAATTAATCAAAATTGGGATTTAGGAACTATATCTTGATTTGAAAAGATCAGAAATCAATAATAAAAAGATGACCAGAAAAACTACTTGGAAATTTAATATATACCAAAAGTTTAAAAAAATAGCCAGCAAAAAGTGGAAAGGAGAGGTGTTTATATATAATCTATAGGTCAAAGTTTTGCCCTTCAAGATAGTAGATTGATGACATGTTTATTTCATCGCTCTGAGATGCCATTAAATTTAGTCGATATAGGAAAAACGATACAATCCCACAACAAAGACAGTGGATAGGCGGGAAAGTTTGTTATTGGCAGTTGAGACTGTCCAGTATTTTACTGAAGCATGGAAGCAGACGGTGGATTAGTGAATGATTAAACAAGTTGGATGAGGCCACAGCTTAGAATATGAGATGAAGGGGCCAGGACTGAGGAGAGACCCGATCTGAAGATACTGGAAAAGCCAGGTAGAACCTGAGAACGAGTTATGACGTAGAAAATAGGGGTTAACTGAAGATATCTATATGGAACAGTTGGCCCCATTCCCTTCCCAGGTACATAATGCCCATTCGTTGTTTTATGTGCCAGTCAAAATAACTGGAGAGTTTCCTCTAAAGAAATTGAACTAATTGTTTCAAGAACTAAGGCAGCCAGTATTGGAACTGGCTTTTAAGAGAAAAGAGCTTCTTCATTGGGTATTTTTGGTTCTTAGTCTGAAGGTCAGATCACTGTCTGCTCATCCTAAAGTCAAATCCACCAGTGAAGTCCACTATTCAGATATGCAGTCCTCACAATTAGCT